AAACAAAAAGGAATGTCAAGGTCTCGGCACCGTAACGAAATAATAATCGAAAATAACATATTTTAAACGCTGAAATAATTGGCAATACAAAAATGTGAGCTATAACTAAAACGATATAAAACTTTAATGCCGAAACAAAAAATTGATTTATATGCGATAATTTTCACTTTGTCAAACTCCAAACAAGTAGTAATAATAAATATATATATGTATATATATTAAGGCTCTACAAGCTTGACACAATAGATTAAAAAATTATCTTAGTGCTTCTTATAATATCTCTATGTAAATTTTATTACAGAATTATATTACGAATTCGAGTTTTATAATAATTTAATTTCTGTTACAGTAATATCGCAAGTTATTATTTAACATAATATTATTGTCCTTTAGTTTATAACATTATTGTTATAAAAAGTTTATAAGTAGAATTTATATTGCAAACTTAGTATATTTAAATTAATATCAATTACTTTTAACAACTATTCTATGATACTTATATCAACGAGTCAAGCATATGACACGTGCTGCTCTAGCAATAAAAAAACTATATATATATAACATATATGTATTTATATTATAATATTATAATGTATATAAAAAACGGGCGCGCCAAGTATTAGCCCAGTCACTAGGTAGTTTTACCTGGAAAGACTCGAGGGAGTTTTGATATTTGGCATAGTTATGTAATTTGGTGCCCTTATTACAAATTTACATTTTGCTACCAAAAAATTGACGCGCCGGCGTCGCCATATTAAAAAAATAGCTAAAAAATCGATCAAAAATCAGTTTTTTGCAAATATCTCGTTCCAGGTGTATCTGTCGACAAAAATACTTCTATAGTAAATTGTAGAGGAGAAAATTTCCTACAAATTATGTTCTATACATTTTTTTATAAAATTAACGGATTGCCTGTAATATGTTCGTCAAATATGACGTAAGATCGGAAGAGCACACGTCTGAACTCCTTTCACCAGGTTATTATATATATAAGTATATTATATATATATATACATATATATATAGAAATAAAAATATATGTATCATAATAGTTTAATAGGATAAGTAATTTTCACATAGTCAGATAATAAAACCAGCCTTGGATTCTTTCTAGGGAGGTTGCTTATTATCAAAAAATCTCTCTCCCTTCACTTTAGTATTGTACGTACATATGCCCGACCATAGCCTTCATACACACACACGCACACACACACACACACACACACACACACACACGCACACGCACGCGCACGCGCACGCGCACGCACACGCACACGCGCACGCACACGCACACGCACATGCACACGCACACGCACACGCACACGCACACGCACACACACACACACATATATATATTTAAAACATACACTCATATGTGACACGCTGTTTGTCGTGTATGGTATTTTTTTCCACACCATCACTTTATTATTAGAGGTTATTTGAAAAATATTATACTTATGAGATCATTCTTTCCTGTAAATATAATTATGGACGTTCAGTACGACTCTAGCATTGTGGTAGTGTTGTTACTGTTCGTTTCTATGAGCTTATCA